ACCCTGCCCTTCTCCGAAAAATTCAAAATACCGTTTTCATTTTTGTCACCGAACACAAGTCTTCGAGCTTTTAGTTGCAATTTTAAAATGTCTAGTTTTTGTTTTGGTGTTTGATTTGCAAGTCCCACCGTGACATCATTAGCCTTAGTCCAGATCCCCCCGCACATATCTTTAACCTCATTGTATACTGTTTCTTTTCTTACGTTGTCCTTTTCCTCTTTGTGCAATTTGCTTTCCCTTTTGTCCCTAATTGCTTTTTCCCTACCCTCCCAAATTTTCTTGGCACGCATCGCATACTTCTGTTTTTGAACATGTTTTTGTTTTCTCGCTACTTCCATATATTGTTTTCTTTTATCTTCGGGTAAAGTGGAGACCCACTTGCTTGTTTGGTTTTTGGAATACATGATAATGCTCTCCAAACAGTTTGTTTTTGCTTTGGGTTTGCATTTCATTGTTCGGTCAAGCATTCCAAAGTCCCTTTCTACAGATACATTTGTTTTTGGCACGCTTTCTACTTCCCCGTCTTTGTCTTTGTACTTATCCTGTAGATGATCATGTACTAGTCTATTCGTTACGGTTACAAACCCAATGAAAAGCATTTCAAGTACTTGTTGGGTCAAATGGTCATCCCCTTCATGGTTAACTAACTTATCTAGCATTACATCGTTAGGAATATCTACATCATCAAATATTTTACACTTGCCCTTCATGAATTCTGAGGAATCTTCCGCAAATTCCTGAAACTTACTCATCATCGTTTTGTATCTATCATTCATCGTGTTAATGTTTTCTTTTGTTTCAAGAATTTGCCAAAGGGGTTTGGTAACGAACCGGTCAATGAGACCAAGAGCCCTACACGCCGCCAGATAATGTGGTACATGTAGGTCGGCGTGGACAGCTCTCATTAGTAAATTATCATCTTTGTAATCATTAAAAAAATCCTTTAAATCGCTTGCAAGGTAGAACACGCCAGCCCCGTTTTTAAATAAAATATTAAACCTATTTCCCTTGAATGGAGCGAGTGGCACCCAATCTCTTCCTCTCTCCCTTAAAAATGCCCGAAATTGAACAGGTTTTCCTGACTTTTCACAACCCCTGTCCTGTATGGCCTTGCATACTGTTCTGACTAGTCTCTCTGTACCCCCTTCATTCCCCTTTGATGAGACCCCAACCTTTTTGGCACCAACATTAGTTTCACCAAATATCATTTTCTCCCATACATTCAATGTTTGAGACGATTGATCTGCTAATCCCACCATATAATGTAAGCCGCAAAAGAAGTTGTTCATACTAACTGCCCTTTCCTTCTGAATTTCACTGTACCCATCCCACCCATTGTCAACCTTAGGCAGCACCTCCCTTTTATACTGTTGTAAGAGTTCATTGAATTTTTTTTGAGCAATATGCCTATCACTGATAGTGTTTTTCATCTTTTGAAGAATTTTGTTCATCTTCTGGGGCCCTTCATCGTCTAAAACATTACACATATCCTCTAGTACTTCCTTCATTAAACCTAAAGTTTCTTCGGCGGTACCCCCCACACTTTCTCTTACCCCCATGACATAGCAGTCACCATCTTGTGTGTGAATATCAAAAGCCCCATAATGATGACCCCCCTTTGTTGTGCCATCCCCCCCTATTGTCAGATTTGACTGGTCTTCATTCATCAGCGTATCTAATACTTGAATTTGACTAAGAACTCTGGCTTCTTGAAACATATCTGCTGCAAAGTCCTTTTTTGGTAATTTCCCCACCTCTGCTTTTGTCAAACCCTCGATTATTGACCTTACCACCCCTTCACAGTTCCTTGAACTGACTCCAAATTTGCACTCTAACTCTTGGTATACCTGTCTAACCTCATCTGTGTACTTGCCTTTTTCGATTGACTGAATGACAATCTCCGATAGCGGACTCGCTAATTTGCCTAACTTAACTGTCATTTTCTTCAATTTTCGTTTGAGAGATTTATTTTCTTGGATAGTTTTCGAAAGCAAGTCGTTTCTTTTCTTTAGATAATTCAAGCGTACTTGACTTTTCTTCCACATTACTTTCATCGCCCCTTTTTGTTGTTTTAACTTTCTGAACTGCTTTGTTTGTTCTTCAAGAAGCGAAATTTTCATTTTTCTTGAGAGCAACTCTGTTTGCATTTTTTTTACTGCCTTTGTTTGATTATCAAGTGCCCTTTTCCTACCTTCATCTTTTATCTTAAATCGTCGCCTTTGTACTTCCGATTTTGCTAAACTTAATTTGTAGTCGTTAAGTTTCTTTTCTACGCCGGTCAACCTTACTCTCATTTTCCTTAACCTCGTTTTGAGTATTATACATTCCTTTCGAAATCTACATTTACAATTGGATTTTTCTTGACTTCTACTAACCCTCTCGCGAACTGGCCTCGAACCCCCTTTCCCGCGCTTTCCCTTCCCACCACTTTGCCTCTTCTTCCCACCATCCGGCTTTCTTCTCCCCCCAACCCCACTTGCCTGATTACCACTTACGGGCAAAATTACAAACACCTCGTTCAAGAATTTGTCTAAGTCTCTTTCATTCAATCCAGAGCTCCTTTGTTCAGTTACCTTTCGTATTTTGTTGTGCAGCCTATGTGTACTTACACTACCAACACTATCATCAACCTCAAACAGCGCACGCAACAACTGTTTGAAACTTTCGGTGGAAAGATCATTTTTCCTACCCCACGCATAGAGTTCTAAAACCACACCATTCGTCATCCACGCCCATCCCATCCTCTCACGGTCATACTCGTTACACAACGCAGCTTGAACATCACCCTCCAATACCCCAATCTTTGAACAGTTTGGTCCCAACCCCGACACTAGTTTATGCAATTCTTGTACAACTTCATCCCCCCTCCCTTTCTTCAAGCTGTACGTTGTCTTCCTCCTAAGATTACCGAAGTGTATAGAAATGACATTGATATGGTTCTTGGAAACTGTTTTAGAATATGCCAAGAGGCACTCCCTTTGTGTGCCGTTGCACTCAGTACTAGATTCTTGCCAGACGTCGAAATGTGAGAAAAAAATAGAAAGGTCCTGAAATGTCATGTATTCTTTCTTTATTGGAGGAGACTGAAAACAATTCAAAAAGTTACTTACGGCTTCAGGGTTCATGATGCTGGCTGGGGCTGGCTGTCAGATGAAAAGCTAGTTGAATCCAGGTAAAAACAGAGTAAAAACGTCAATTGCAAACCAATTCAGAGCTGGAGTCGAGTAGAGTCGTAAATCGAGTAGATTTCGATAATGCTCGTAATTACGTATGCAGTGCATACGCGCTGCACTAGATGGCCCTTTAAATTACCCGCCTTTTAAATTAATTACCCGCCTTCAATAATGTCACGTGAACAAGGGGCTCGTTCCTAACGACGCCCGTTGCAAATTGATGAATGTAAATTAACCATTAGCGACATATACATTTCAGGCAGTGGGGACAAGTACAATGCGAATTGCCCGCCTTCAACAATGTCACGTGAACAAGGGGCTCGTTCCCAGCGACGCCCGTTGCAAATTGATGAATGCATATTAACCATTAGCGACATATACATTTCAGGCAATGGGGATAATGCGAAGATGCACTCTCTTAGTGCACACTAAATACATCACGCCAGCACAGACAGATCCGAATACACACACAAGTAGTACACACACGGTACGGGCAAGCGCATCACAGACAGATTGACCAATCAGATTGCAGGGATTCTTCTACCCATCTTATAATAGGCCTACACATATTCAACGCTGCGTACGCGTCATAGTGTGTACAAAGGCTTGCGACACGGGTAGCACGCACAAAATTTGCTAAGCGCCGCTGAACGTTGCGTGATCTAAATGCATATGCATCAGCGGATTTTAAGCGCTGTCACCATGGATTTGGGCTGAGCAGAGTCACGCCTCCCTAATTAGCTGATCCGAAAAATGTGGAGAAGGGTATTTTCAAACTGTTGTCAGTTGTGATCCCTGGGGGCTAGCGAAAAAAAAAAGCACATACATAATTCCTTAGGACTGGGACTACTTATCGATCGGGGCGTCATATCTCAAAAGTGACAAACCTCGGAGTTAGCCAGGACACAATGTTTAAATCGCTGTTTTGACCAAGATATTTTTAGAATTTCGAGGCAACGCCCTGTGGAAATATTGGAATTCACCTGCTCTTTCATATGACACCTCATTTATCGAGTATCACCTTCAGGATCACAACAGATAAAGGTTTGAAGTTCGAATTGAAAAAAAAAACTTGACTTTTTTTGCATGATCGCGTAATGCACGTAGACCGCATAGGGATGCGTGCAATCTCTATGGGAAGAATTTTAGCACACAACATCGGGTGCGCGATCAGACACCCTACTACTATAATCGGAGGTCTAGAATCTAGTGGAGCCAGACGTAGTCTCAGTGGAACAACCGACGATTAGAGAGACTGAAGTTTTCGGTCTAGACCTCTATGCGTGGATCGGAAATCAGATTGGTCAACCAAAAATGCGGACATTCCTCATTTTTTGCATTTTTTGCTGTCCACGTTTATCAAGACAAACCCTCATTCTGGGACCCAACACGCCGATGAAAAAAAAAGTCAGCGAAAATGAGGAAGATCATCATTTTTTAAGACACAATTTGTACGCGTTTACAAGGATATCCTAATTTATGCGGGCAGCGGACGATCCTTTGAAATTCTCAGGATTCTGCCCAAAGTAGGCAAAAAGCCTGGAAAGAGATTAGTTTTTTTTTACTTTGGGCAAAAGCCTCGGACGCGGACCAGCGCCCGCGCCGCGCCCCTAACCGCCGACATGTAGACATTACTCATTCATTCGCACGATTAGTCTACCAGTGATTTTAGTCTAATTTGTGGCTTTGTCATTTTGACCTTGTCCCCTCTATTTTTCGGTTAGGTCTCTGAACAAATTCATTAAGCGTGCTTCATTAAGGATAACTAACAAAAAAGCTGGGGGCCCGATCGATTTCTAAATTATTACACTAACAACAGCAAAATACCTTTGGCAGCAGTAATGTTGCTTCGTCGAACCTCGGCTGGCTTTTCACGATCAACATAGGCCGATTGACTCGGCCCATGAGTTGGTCCCTTGAAGGTTGGCATGTTCACCAATTTAAATTTCGAGAAATACTATTTTAATGAAAATATATACTGGGTTGCTACGGATTTTTAGAGATTTTATCAAAGTAAATATTCGTGGGCTACACAGAACTCACGCTCAAGAAGGTTTCGGAGTTACGTACGGAAGTCTACGGACCATTCAATACAACACCTACCAACGTGTAGACTATTTGACCAGCTGTTTTGACGCATATTTCTATTTTCGTGCTCGCTCAATTAACGTACAAAAGTGAAAAGTACTGTTGCATTGTTCTATAACATGTGACGGTTCTGTTGTGCTGCATGGACGCATAGATGATTTTTCCCAGATATTCTCGAAGCATCTGTATCAAAGAGATATAACAGCCCCCCCTCGATCCCCCGATACAAAATTAAAACAGACAAACAAAATCAATAAGAAAGTCAGAATGAACGGGAAATCGAATTGTCCCGGCCACAGAGCTGTAAAATACCTATTTAACAAACAGTCCTTGTTCTTGCCCTGGTCGATAGATACTCTGTTTATAATAGTAGCTAGAATTATAGTTTTTGGGAAATTTTGAAAATTGGGTGCATGGAGAGTGATTCTTTACCAGATATATTTCGATGCCCCTGGCCCCCTGTGGATGTATTATAAGCACTCAGGCGCGAACGCAGGATTTTTTCAAGGGGGGGGGTTTAACATTCATAAATTGGGCCGAAAATTTCGCAACGACTCAGCAGCCGCTGAATAAAGGGGGGGGGGGGGGGGGGGGGGGGGGGGGGGGGGGAAAGGACACTTTTTTTTTTTTGTCTCGAAATTTGAAAATTTGACATTTGGCTCCGTTGGGGGGGGGGGGGGGTAAGGTCACCTTTTTAGATCAGCCATGGGAATTTTTTATTTTTTTTTAAATAATTAAAAAAAAAAAAAAAAAAAAAAAAATCCAAAGGGGGGGGGGGTTTAGGGGGGTTATGGGGGGGGGGGGGTTTAGGGGGGTTATGGGGCGGGCGGGGGGGGGGGGGGTTACACACATAAAAATACCAAAGAGGGGGGGTTTAACCACCCAACCCCCCCCCCCCCCCCCCCTGCATGTGTACGCGCCTGTAAGCACTTGAAAAATTAGCCCCTAAAACACTTCTGCTTTCGTTAAAAATTGAATATAAAAATTTAGCGGTGTTCCGGGTGAATTTGGATAAATTTCAAATAGCGCCTATATATACGGCCATACAATGTTAACTGCGACCATGAAAATCTCAGAATATGTAGTTGTGATATATGATTTCCAAACGGGAATAGCTAATCGGTCGATTTTAGTCAATTTATAGCTTAATTAATATCTTGACCTTGAGAGGGAGCTATACAACATAAAGAGTTTATTATTTACAATTTCAAGAACTTTACACTCGTTTTCAACCGCGAAGATCACTAAATATTGTAGGATCACATTTGTTTACATTATGTTCATTTGAACCAAATTTATGACCCCATACCAAAACTTTGTATTACCTTTAAGACTTGCCTTAAATATTTATTGGCTAATTATTAATTGGAGGAGTATATTATTCTACCCATGTCCTCTAAAAGATGGGAGCATCTCTGCCCCCTTGATTGCGGTGCCTTTTGTAGACAGCTAGGGTTCTTACTGGGACACAAGAAACACACGAGTCTATAATATTCCAGGGAGCGTACTATCCCGGGGGGGGGGGGGGGGGGGGGTGCCGGGTACCCAGATTTAATTGGTCTGGACGGGGGTGTGACACCCATGCCTCGTAACCTATACCCATTTTTTACCAGTTTAGGTATTTTTCTGGAAATATATATGCCCATTTTTCACAATGTTTACCATTATGCAAACAAGTATAATGAGTTGGAAATTTTGGAAAAACGGACCCATGTTTCGGGATTTTCGTGTGAAAAAAGCAACTAATTAGAGCGGCACATCCCCGTACTGTCTTAATATGTGCGTATACCCCCCCCCCCTGGGGTAATTATACTACCGTACCATGCACAAAGAAGACGAAAGACCTGATGCATGGCTGATCTTCAACGAAACGGAGTTAAAACGTGAAAACGAACCCGTTTGATCAAATTATGGAAATGCAAGCATTTTTAAACAAACAGAACTTTGTTATTCCTGGCTCAGTTTTCCTGATTGAGGTGTTTATGAAAGGGCAGAAATTGAACTTTCTAGAAATGTGATTTTCTCCTTGAAATTCAGATACCGCCCGCCAAATGACTTTTTGGTTTCCTCTCTTCAAATTGCTTTTAATCACTCATGCGTGAAATATGCATCATATGAGTTGCATCAAATGAAAGAGGAGGATAAGCTTTCCAAATATGTGTCATTTATTAATTATAATTGTGACTTTTGATCGTTGTGAAACACCCCCTGGTCTCACTTACTGTGTCATATTTAAAACATTAAGAAAATCATAGCTTTTCATATTTTTTTTTATCTTTCTCAAACTTTCACTGACCTACATGTATCATTTTATATTGTCAATTGATTTGAAGTAAAAAAAAATACTCATGATATATATATATATATATATAGAATATAGATATATAGTTCTGGGAAAGGCAAAATGGTGATCATTTTGTGTAAAACTCGTCCTGTTTATTTTTCTTGATTAATATCGGCTGCCTCAAGTTGGAAAATTTACATTTTAGACAAATATGGTTGTAAATGAATTTCAAAAATCAAATAAGGGATATTTCACTTTCTTCTTTTTTGTTTGTTTATCTTGCTGTTCACCAAACTAGATAATGCACAATGTCTCGAAAATGCTCAGCTAAGTAGAACCTTTAATTTATAAGAATCAAAAAATGCAAAAAGAAAAAAATTGCAAAAATAGACACACATATACACTCTCAAATAATCATTGCATTTCTAACATCCTCCTTTTTATTGGCATCTAATATAAAGGATAAATAAGATGAGCTATGTATTGTTCAAATCCATAACAAATGTAAGATAATATACAGAAATCATTAATATTTTACGAGTCAACCTTATTCTCTGATTCTGTGTTATCATTAAATCCACACAACAACAAAAAACGATATTAAGTAAGCACCCTTTTTGTTTCATCTATAAATGATGTTGGTTCCTGAGCACATGATTACTGTAATGGTGTATGATAAAGAGATCATTATCAGGATTAATGCATCCCAGGGTGTTAATCTGATGGTAACATACACCTCCCTTGTTTTGGGAGTAAGAGGGAGAGAAACAAAATGGAACTGATTTTATCTCTCTTTCTTGCTTCTATTTGGTTTATCTCTGTACAATGCATTCCTCTGCAAATGATGGTAAATAATGATAATATATAATATTTTCATAGTGCCCAAATCCATCATGCAAGGTGCTCTATTAATACCCTGGCTCTGCTGGGCTACCCGTTTCGGTGTATGAAATGAGATGGATCCAAGCGCTCGAAATCCCGGATGCATTAAACAAAAATAGTTTGTAATTCTGAAGATTATCAGTCTTTGATAAATCCCATGTAGAGTTTTGGGAAGGCCCCTCCCCCCTCCCCCCCCCCCCCCATTCACAGTACTTTGACTTGCATACGATACCTTGAAAACAATGGTTTTAAACTATTCTAAAGTTTAGACTAAGAGCAAATGCCTAGAATTTGGAGTTCCTTTCACTTATTTTCATTAAAATTCTTTGGAAACATGGGCAGAATATCAAAATATCTAGCCACATGTATCATTAAACACAAGCAATATGAATATAAGAACATATTCGGCAAGTTCCATTTTTATTGTATTTTGGCTACATGGATAAAACATTATCATAAACACAAACCTCCAAAAGATTAAGCTCTAAACTTATCAACCCCCAACTCTTATTAGACATATTTTCTGACAATAAGCATTTCAAAAATCTAAAATAAAATCTGAATCAAAATTGTGTTCACGCAAATAATTTGGAGGAGTTCTTTTGACATCCTTGCATTTTCTAACTGATTCCATAAACATGTCTAATGAAAGATCGGAATGCCAGTGTTAAAATCATTGAAGGCTAGATAGGATCAGAGATAATTGTTATTTTTCATTAAGAAAAAAAACCTTATTGACCTTAATGAAACACTATAAAGTTCAGTTACTGTACTACAACTGAATATTTATGGTAAAACCATGAAGAATTGGAAATAGATATATGTTATACTGTACATGTAACTTGATTATATAAACTATTGTAGTCAGTTTTAGATTCACTTTAAACACAAGGAATTGCTCCATGAGGCAGTAAACCCATTCATAAGATGACCCTCCTATACATAAAAAATGTAACAGATACCTAGAGCAACAATTATATTTTTCCCACCCCCCCAAAAAAAAACCACAAAAAAACAAGAAGATAGTTCATCCCAGACAAGTTAGACAACTATCTCACTAGGACAATTATCAACCAGACAACAAACAAAACTCAAGTAGAATAATGCATTAACAAGGGGGAATTGTATTTTCAAAAATTACTCTTTAGGGTAGGGGGTAATTTCTGTTGTGTTTAATTTGAAGGGGGAGGGGGGGGGGGGGGGGGTAACTGTTCTGATATGCGTCTTTTTTACATTCACATAGCCCATTCTGGTTCGGGAAGGTGAACTCATGGGGTGAGCACGCACGCACTTACTCACAGGTAAAATATTAAAAACCGGCCAGATGCTGGGCTTGTTTACTGTAAATCCGACTTATACACAAACTTAGAAACTTGTAAGTTGAATTTTTAAATTTGACAGCAGGGGTACTTCAGAAGTGGTGAACAATCTCATATGACAGTAATAGTGCGGTATGGAATGTAATCCCGGATTTTTGAGCCAAAGTTGATTTTTTTTTTTGGTGCTATTTTAGCTTTAAAAGGGTCCCAATTGGCCAAAAATGATGGGGTTCAAATTTTCAGACCCCTCCTTCATTTCCTGGGGAGTCCATATTGGGCGCCAAAATGGCTTATATAACGCGCAATAGGGAAATTTGGTGTCTTCGGGAAAATTTGAACCCCATCAATTTCTGATAGCTTGGGCCCAATGAATCCAAAAATGCAACAAAAAAAAAAAAAAAAATCAACTTTGGCACAAAAATCCTACGGGAGCTGTTTCAGTGACATACCGTACCACACTATAAGCCTAAAAGGAGAATGTTAGAAGTAGAACTATAATTCATGTATATCTGAAATGCAATTACAATTAAAAGAATAAAAATATAAAAACACATATTATTAAATAGTAATGTATATTGTCTCTAAAATATGAGAGCAAGGATTTCATAACATAAGCAATACTATATACAATAGGTGCAATACTGTATACTGTTGGTACACATGCATCATTCTGCTATATACACAACCAGAAGCCCTTTAATTGGCAATAGTTCTGCTTGAACAACAAACTAGAATGGCCAATTCAGATACTCAGAACTTAACAAAAAAAATCTCATGTGGGCATTCCTTCAATAAAAATTATCCAGGATATCATACAATTTTCAAGGTGGTCAAAGCTGATAAATTAACCCTTTCTATGTCACAGCCTTCAGATTTTACCAATAACTTAAATTTATTTTACAAGATAGCTTTATATATTTCCACTAGTAGCTTGAACTGTGAAATTTGTACCCCTGCAAAATTCAAAATTGCATTTGACAATATAAAAATAAAAGTGAAAATGAATTATTTGCTTCTTGAAACTTAGTTCATGATTGCTTATAAAATCAAAATTAGGAAAGTTACAAAAAACTGTATATACAAATAAGTATAAATACATAAATGTCATAAATCCTAAAAGTCATTATTCACATTAAGCTTCAAAAAAAATACACAGAAAGTGCAGAGTGGAACAGTGCATTAGCACCTCAGCTATTTTTATCTTTCTTGTACTTAAGAAAGCATTTGCATTTACTTTCCAAAATAAAATGAATTTATTGTTTTATTGAGAGAATATTATGCACACCTTCCTACTAGCACCTTAGACAGCATGAATGGCATTATTTATAGGGGTAGGCCACTTTTGAACCACATAAGGCCCGTACCAGGGCATGACTCCAGTGGTCTTGAACTATGTCATTTTGAGAGAGGCACAGCAAATGCGTTTTAGCCTCAAAATGCCCAAAATATGCCCTGCAAGATATGCCAAATAACCAACGTTTGCTTTCAAAATCCATTCGGTTCTAATGTTTCTTGCTGTTTGGTGCTGAATTGTTTTCCTCGTCAGACCAGTAGTAGTCTCCTTCGTCTTCGTCAGAATCCGTGCCTTGGACGGGGTCGACCTGGAATGCTTCGGATATGGTCGGAGTCATGGCCATGGTCTGGGTTTTCAACTGCCTCTGCCTTACCTGTGCAACAAGAAAAGAGATGTTTTACTCTTGCTGGGCCAGTGTCACCGTTAACTGTCACGTATGTGTGACAAACGGATTGGATATTTTTTTATCATATATCGTCTACCGAGAAATATACAGTTAACAAAACATACAGTTCTACTGCAATTTTCGTTGAGGTGTTCCATTCAATTCCTTTACGGCCAATCTACAATAAAATACTTGTTTTGAGGTACACTTGTTTATGGTTATGCATACACAATTGTTCACCTTAGTTATGAAATATCATATTTATTATCCATTTATTATTACGATTGTCAGGAATTTACTTATTTTGTATTTATACCCTGTAAAAGACTTCGCGATTTTGGCCTTTGGCAGCAAGATATTTTCTTAACAAATCACTTTAATTCAATTCAATTTTAGCTCGATCCATGCACCAAAGCCACTTGTAAAATGCTGAATTTCAAATGGGAGCTCTTCTAACAACATCAAAGATTTAGATAAATCTTTGAGAAGAAACTTGCCTTGAGAGGTGGACTGACATTGTGTGTAGTCTCTGGAACGTTCTTCCCCCGTCGACTGGCTCTTTTCTTCTGCATGCCAAAGATATACTTATCCATGTGTTTCCTGTTTAACAGAAAAAAAAGGATTGTGCAATAAATGATCTCACTAAAGTACAACAAACCACTTAAGATCATTCAAGGTTGTACAGATTTCTAATCTCCTCAAAATCATTCATCAAAACTATTGATCAAAATGAGTGAATATGGACTAATTGTTATAAAATATTATAAAACGGTTTCTAGAATGTATGCAATCTAATGGTCAATGACACAACATGACTCTGCATCATTCTCTCCTACGACACCTACCTTGTAGTTCCGATCAAAAAGAGATAAAACACAGTTTAGATGTGCATATGCGTCTATCTGGGGCATATAGGATTCATATGTGATTAAATGCAGTTTCAAATGGCAAGAACATTGATATGCATACCGAGACACACAAAATACTGTTTGGCTGCACTTGCGTGACGTCATTCAGCAAATGGCGGACTCTATGACTGAGTGACTTTATCGCATTTTTATTGGCTTTGTTGCTGATTTTTAAAATATTATATTCACATTGTAGACCCATTTTTTTAAAACAAATAATCAATGTTTGAAACTCGTGCAATAGTGATATGAGCCGGACAATGAACAAGACTTGCCAAGTTTATTATCCGATTATGACTTAACCCACGTGCAGTGCATATTTACTGATGCACTTGTAAACATGAAGAATTTGTAAAACTAGAAATAAGATAACAATTACTTTTCTACGGAATTCAAGAGCCCAGGGCTTATTATTGCAGAGGAATGGGGAGTCCTCTTCCCGGAAAGGGGTGCCAGAAGATTGTGGAATCGTGTACTGGGCGTCTTCAAACGGGCGGAGCCTGGAGTCTTGGCCTGCATTCCTTCGTCATCATCCTCTTCTTCCTCTTCCTCTGCCAGGTCAAGATTTAACAAGGGCTAGTCAAGAGAATTGGTCAGAAAATTGACATAATAATGCTCAAATTTTGAGAATCAACAGTGTAGTAGTATTAAAGATTAAGGGTATCATTGCTGATTTGGGCGAGGATCTATGTATGTAAGGTTCTTTCAGGTGCTGAGATGCAAGAGTACATATGAGTCACATTAACAGTAATTTGTTTCCAATTTTTAATACAATAAAGATGTTTTGAATGTAAAGAAAACCCTAGCAAGTGTTCTTTAAATAACTTGAACATAGTGCGCTCCACATTTCTGTTTCTCAAAATACACACATAAGTAACACAAGTAACTTTTCCTCCACTTGCTTCACTCTTTCCCTGCACATCAACAAGGCTCCTTGATGCACTACATATATATACATTATCATTATTATCATTATAAATTTAATAATATGTACCTATACACTAATAGACGTGTAAATTAAAGTTGATTACATTACAAAAAATGGCACGTTGGGCCGAGGTTGAGTCATCATGGACCTACCTTTGTGGTCTTCCTCTGTTTCTTGAATGGAGTTGAATCAAATAGATCCTCTTCAGATGCCTGGTTGTGCTGCTGGATGAGTTCTCTGAGTTGCCTCTTTCGTTTCATTGTACCCTTGGCAGCAGTTAGGGCAACAGGCTCTACAAGACAAAATGGCACAACACATAAAACAAAAGCAATTGTAACAATCCTCTATTCATTATACACTTGCAGCAGTCAGCACAGTTCATACACTTTTCTGTTCACTTGAAAATGAATAAAAGTATCATTGATAATGACTATAAACTATGTAGCAAGGATATCCATATGAGAAGTTATGGCACCTCTGAAATGTCCTAAAAGAAGTCTGTTCACAGATTGGTGGGAAAAAATACTCTAGCAAATTGCAAATGAAGCAGTAGACCCCCCCCCCCCCAAAAAAAAATAAATAAATAAATAAATAAAAAATAAAATAAACAGCATTAAGTTGGTACCTTTTGCTCCTTGGTTGGACTCTTTGTTATCCTTTGTGGTACCCTTAGTGGTACCCTTAGACTGGTTGGATGCCTTGGTAGCCTCCTCCAGCTTGGCCTGATGCTCTTGCTGACATTCCCATTCTGTCCGGGTTCCAACAGAAGATGCCACCCGATGCCAGAACTGCCTGGAGCTTGGTGGGATTATCTTCAAAGCTCTGTACAATGCAGATAAACATGCACACAAATATTGTCTAATGAATTCAAGTCAAAGCCAAAGTGCAGCCATAGGTATCCAGCATTTTACAGACAAGAGCTCTACCACACGCAATATAGCTTACAACCAAGAGTTAAAGGTAATACAAAGTTTTGGTAAGGGGTCATGAATTCGGTTCAAATGAACATATTGGAAGCATATGCGATCCTACAATATACAGAGATCGTTGTCGTGATTGAAATCGAGTCTAAAGTTATTAACTTGTAAATAATAATCTCTTATGTTGTATAGCTCCCTCTCAAGGTCAAGATATTAATTAAGCTATAAAACAATGTTTCTTGACTAAAATCGACTGATTAACTATTCCTGTTTGAAAGTTATATATCCCAGCTACATATTCTGAGATTTTCATGGTCGCAGCTACCAGTGTACGGCCGTAGCTGCTATTCAGATTTATCAGCATTTACCGGGAGCACCGGTAAATTTGTATATTCAATTTTTCTTGAAAGCAGAAGTGTTTTAGGGGCTAAATTTTCTAGTGCTTATAATACATCCACAGGGGCATCAAAATATATAAAATTTGTAAAAATCACTATCCAACCAATTTTCAAAAATTCCCAAAACTTTGTATTACCTTTAATCTTTCATTAAAAAAATACAGTTTTACATCATCTAGCAGTTTAATGATACAAACAAAAAAGCACAATGAAGACCCATGACTATAGTAAAGGAATTAATGCAGATGTTTAACAAATTCAATTTGTAGAATTAAACTTTGAATCTACTCTCAAAGAAAGATATCCATAATTCTACTACAACTGCTGGCAAAGGAAAGCTAAAAGATCATTCATATCCCTTGTAGAACTTTCATTATATTTTCATTTTCCATATTTTCTTTTTTAATTACATGTTCCTTTGAAAAAGTTTTGCAAGAAGATATCAAAGACATGGCTCATTCAAAATAGCTCCTAATGAAAATTAATGATCATATCACATGTGTATGTCATTGTGACTCTTGCCATTGGTGTACTAATATATGGTCTTTGAGAAGACCTGATGACTTCTTGGATAAAAAAAAATTCATTGTCTCACCTGTGCAAACGATGAAGTTCATCAGGTTTCCATTTCTCATTCGATTCCTGAATTCTCTTTGAAATCCGAGACTTAGGTGGTGCTTCTTTCGTCTTTTTCTTTGTTGCTTGTTCAGCTTTGTCTTGTTTCCCTGATCCAGAGCTACCTTTGATTTTCACCCCTGCATTTAAATCAGAGTGTTCATTTTTCTCCAAAACGACACATGCAACCATATTTGAACCAAGCAGCACTCTCTCATTAGCTTTAGAGGATACTTTCCGTTTGTGCTTGGAGATGCTTTTGTTACTTGTGCTAGGTACAGGAGAGCCTTTTGGTTTCCTTGACAAGGAGCTATTCTTATTATCTCCTTCAGTAGCAGAAGCAGAGTCTTTATTCTTAAAGTCTTCATCATCGCTGATGTTGAAGTTCTCTTCCCCTTGCTCCGGTGCCGATGAGGAACTCCTATTGGCCTCACGCGAGCGTCGCCTTCTGCTCTGATTTGATATCCTGCGTTGCCGATTCTCCTTCACGACTCCCATGACCTCACTGTACAGATCATAGGGCTGGCTGCTCTTGTTAGTTGCGTCCCCTCCGACTCCACTGACTGGAGGTGATACGTCTACGGCATCACAGACACTTGTTTGACTCAGAGATCTAGGCGTGTCCCGTGACTTCTGATGGTCGGAGGTGTCTAAAGACTTTTTGGGGAAGGTGTCTAAAGACTTCCTGGGTGATCTTCGAAAACTTCCCTGCTCTGGCAATGCATCGAGGCTGCATTCTTCACCGCCTGCTTTCATTGTATTGGATGTGTCTGAATTTCTCTCAGTTCTTGCATTAACAACTCTCTTTTGCATCCTGTCCAGCGGGTCATCCTCACTTTCACTCTCCTCAAAACTACTCTCTCTCTGTGAAGTTGTGTTCTTTGACTTTTCTGCTCGCTTCCTGCTCCTGGGGTTCTTCTTTCTAGTAACCAGCCTTTTTGCTCTCTGGAAGACAAAACAAATTCAATTAAGTTGAATTGATAAATTGATTCATCTGTTTATGTAACAGAAAAAAATTGGTCTTTCATAAGTACATTTCCCAGTAAAGATAAGCATTACAGTAAAGTGCATATATGGGTACATTACCGTGCGTCCAAAAAAAAAATTACACTTTTGGAATAATAAAAAAATGTATGGAAAGCTCATAAACTCAACTTTCATATGACACCAAAAAGTCCAGAAATAATTCATGCTTGGGTAAGCACTGCTCCCTTTTGTAAAGGGTATTAAAATATTAGGTTGCGCAGGAATTAGCCTTCCAATTTGTGAAACGTAAATCCTTTGGTTACCCATTTACCTGAAGAATAAGTAGCAGACATCTTGGACATTCCTTTTTTCAAGAAACCGTATTTGAATATTCAATTTACATAATCCCTACCTGGGTATTAAGTAAATCAATGAGATGTTAAACTAATCTTGATTAATTGATTGACCCATTGACTGGTACATTGTTTAAGTGATTGATAGCTGAATGTTCATTGTCTGATGAATTGTCAAGATATGCACAAACACACACAGGCAGAGAGAGAGAGAAAGAAAGAGAGGGGGAGGGGCATACATGTCCTCTTAACCCTTATCCCATCTACCCAACAAAGTCCTACCTTACATTTCACCATCCCCCGTCCTGACTCCCATGAACACACCACCGAGTCTACCATGGAAAGTTACATTGCTATACGGTAATAACAAATGTAGTTACTGTTCACTCATGCATACAATTTTAATCCCATAAACCACAAATTTCACTCAGCAAACCCAAACTCATCACAATTGATCATAAATTGGTCATATCATCCTCAATTCCGTAAGCTCCAAAGGATTTACCTCTCACAAATTGGAAGGCTAATTCCTGCGCAACCCAATTTCCATACCCTTTACAAAAGTGAGCAGTGCTCACCCAAGCATGAATTATTTTCAGACTTTTTGGTGTCATATGAAAGTTGACTTTATGAGCTTTCCATACATATAAAACTTGTCCCCCCAGAATCATATCTTTTTTATTCGGCAGCCATTTCAAAAGTGTATAGTTTTTTTTGGGACGCATGGTATAGTATAAACCGAGTATAAGAAGTTATTGCAAATGCCCCTTGAAAGAAATTACAAAACGAGTGTGTAATGAAATAGAACACAAATGGGGGGGGGGGGGGGGAAGAGATTCTTGCCAAGAAATTGAAGTCAGTCATACTTTTAATATGCACACTAATAGAAATGAACACAAAGATGATCTCATGTAGTGGAAATGTGGAAATTTCTTCAAATATGTTGATTTATGCTGGATTTATACGACCATTTATGTATTCATTTCTATAGTAAAGAAGCACTTGTGGGAGTTTTGTCTTGTTAATCATCTCTATCTTATTTCTATTGTTCGAGGGTAAATTATAATCAGGCTATATATTTAAACTTTCAATCAATATTCACTATCGGCAAAAAAATTGGGTTGGGTAAGAAGTGGTACTCAGGTTCTAATCATTGGTCAGTCACCTGTTCAAATAATAATTCAGATATGTGAATAGTAATCCACCTCCGTCGATTATCTGGAACAAACTACCAAAAAAAACTTAAACGGTGTAGATCATTAATCAGTTTTAAGCATTTCAATTGAAGCAAAAGTTTTGAATCTGATAAACCGCCCTTTTAATGTCTGTAGTTATCATTGTGTTATTTCTTTGTCTCTCTTTCGGGTTAGTTTTGGTATTTTGTGTAGGATCAACTACCTATAAGTTTTTGTAACTTTTTGATGATCCAACTACTTGGTATCTTCCATTTTATTGTCTTATCTATATTTGTAAGATATCTTTTATTGTATTCTTTGACTTTGCATGTCTATATGAAAGCAGTGAATAAATTCATTTCAATTTAATTAAATCAATCCCAGTCCTCGTTATAAAAACTTTCAAAACATACAGAAATCTGCGGTTTGATCATGTTGATCAATGGAACTCTGAAACAGCTATGAGATGGATCTCTCCAGAGGGGAAAAAGCCAGAGAGGAAGCCCAAGGATCACCTGAAGAAAAGCTTCCAAGATAATCTCGACTAAATCATGCAAGGAATCTTGAATGGCAGTGGCTGACCAAAGAAAATGAAAAGAGCTGGAAGCCCAATGTGCTTAACAGCCCATTAGGACTTATGTAAGTATGCCATGCATTAACTTCATACATTTGAAGGTTTGCGACATGTATCATGGGTACCTGTGATATGTCAATGGAGCCTTTGACACCAAGACGTGTAGCTGACACAGGAGTATGGTCAATGGATCCTTCTAGGAGCTCTGCAGCACCTTCCATGTACAGCAGGGTGCGTTGTCTCTGGCCTCTCCAATATTCGAGGGGTGGGAGGACCTTTCGTCCACTCCTTGTGGTTCGTACCTCCTCCACGCTGACAAAAGAGGGCGTGACAACTACAGCTGAAGTCACAGAAATGACAATAGAAACATTTTTTGCTAAAATAACAAGTACATGTAAGGGATTCTTTATGTCTTCTGTATTCGCCATTAGTCGTATGGTATTTATTGTTTAAAGACTGAGATATGTGGAACGTTATGATATCCTTGGATAAATAATCATGCAATAAATATATTTTGTATCTATGATCCCTCCGACATATAATCTGTAACCGTGTGCAGCTAGTTGTTATGTCATTTACATACATGATTAACAAACATCTTTACAAACCCTAGATAACTACTTAAAAAATGATTCTACACAGACAACAACAACAAATATATAGTGAGCCTTTGATCAAACTTTCAAATAAGATAAATTTATCTATGCGAAAACCTAAGCAGAGCTCAATTTTACCAAGGGAAAATACCCTCACATTCTAATATCAGGTAAAGTACGTACCCCTTCACTAAAAATGTAATGCAAATTCCTGTCACATATACACAGATACATTTCTTTATCATTCACCAATCAAATGCATACATTCAACAATCTGCTGAACATGTTTAGCTAATTTCAATTCATAACTTTGATGTTAAAAGTTTATGTTTATTCTGACATGTTACCTATTATTGTAAAATGATATGTTTCAGTAGCCTTCAGGCTACATTCATGTATCATCTTTCAAGCGTTTACTCTTTATATTAATAAAAACCTGAATGGGATTGGATTGGATTGATGGCTATCCTCTGTGCATAATTCTTTCTGAAAACCGGAAGAGTGGGTCCTCACCCTCTCTCCTTCTCGACACTGGAGTTGTTTCTGAATCGTTACTCGGAGTTTTCGTCACAGCAGGCCGTTTTTCTTTCTTCAGAGTACTGAGCACTTTGTGTGTGGCAAGTCTCCCACCGTTGATGACAGGAGTATTAGATGCCTTCGCTGTCCCTATGTCCGTTGACTCTGGCACAGTCACTTCTACTTTCCTGCATGATTACCAATAGGATAATATTGTCTCTGGTTACCCTATTTCACGCAACAAATGAGTTCATGACAGAAGGCAGGACAAAATCTTCAAGTTATTTGGTTGACTAAAATGTTAGCATTTGCTGGATTGAAAAAGGTGAAAAACAAAATGTGTCATATTATCTGGGTAACTTAGTGACGGATATTCTTTTGACTATTTGATTAAACAATGTGTATTAAGAATGTTCCTCAGTCGTTGATTTACCATGATCTAGTTGACTATTAATAATACTATCATTGAATGCAATTCATATGCACATTTTAAATGTTATTGACACTCACTGCAAATGTAATAGAAGCTTGGTTTATAATGATCAACATGCTGTGTGAAATTTCTTGGCCATGTTTGTTTTGATTCAAAAGGGGAAATCAAATTACATGCCAAGAAACCATCTGCTTAAAGGGAAAGACCAGTTTTGGAAATGCCCCCCTCTCAAAAAATGAAATGGTAGGTCTCAATCATGTGGTTTTCAATCATGTGAAAGAATATGGTTTGACTAATACGTGATGATACAAATTTTGCAGAGAAACCGCCTACTAATTGATATATTTGGTACATTATTATATTTATTTGGACCTGATAGATATCGCGCACGTGTCACGTAGTCCCATATATATCTTTCTGTGTACAGTGATTGTAACTTTACCAAGACTGGGCCAAATTTCTTATCATTTTGATGATTCCAGAGCCTTGAAGTACACACCAATACTTATATGCTAGATGATCAACCTTTTCTGATCGATTCCACAACGTTTCTTTCACAATGCAATCGCATGACCATAACTAGTCTTTAGCTTTAAAATGTAAAGATTGTGATCCATACTCACTTGCCAGATTGCTCCATTGCCTCTTCCACTAAGTACGCTTTCCATTTAGCAGGAAAACCCTTCTGAAAGCGACGTAAAAACTTCTTAGAAAACCCTAGAAACAGAAGTGTAATAAGAGAACATGAAAGATTGTTGGGTAACTGACTTACATCACTACTAAAGCCATGGCACACTGACTAAGACAAATGTAATCCTGTCATCATTTGTATGGATCTGTTTTTTTAATTTTTTTAAATTAATTCATTTATTTATTTCGGTTTAAAAAGACATAAATATACTTGATTCAAAGGTCCAAGGACCAAAATTGATCATGTTTACAAGTAATACAATAAAGTTATATATATATATATATACAGTAAATATACAATAGTGAGCTAAACGAACAGGTATGGCAAGTACAAGATGGTAATAAAGATGAAAAAAAAAAAACATTTCAATCAATACTATGCACATGGTCTGGAGTACTAGCATGATACCCTCATAATTCAGTTTATACATTTTATATGAATATTCTGGAGTAGAGGTAATTTATACCCTATCTAAAATGTCCCGTGTAAATTTCAATTTGAAGCATGAGAATTGATATTATGATACGTATGTAATAAGAAATCAAAACATCATCCAAAGTGTACCAATCACCAAAACATGTCTTGGTCTTGGTTTAGTGGGTTCCATGTTGCTATACTGTAATCAAAATATTAGTTTCAAATATTACTTTTACAGGGGTGATAGTGAGAGTTAAGTCATGAAAAACGGCACCTCAACCCCGCCCACCCCCCCCCCCCCCCCCCCCCCCCCCCCCCCCCCCCCCGACCACTTATTTAAAACCGGATTTACATCGATCTCAGGGACTATCCATTTTTTAAATAAAAAATAAAAATAAAATCAATCAATCAGGAAACTAATTAAATTTAGGATAGAAGAGATATTGCAGTGGAAATAAACTCTCTCAGTAAACATAAATAAAATTTGAGTAGACCCCTTGACGCATGGGCATGTGCTTGCATAGAATAAGGTGCACATGGAACACAAGTCAAACTTGGGTTCTGTGCACAACATTTCATGTTGTTTCTTCTTTAATACTCCTTAACCAGCGATCTATGAAATGCCACACAAATAAATTTCTCAGGTGACTGGTACACATTAAACCCGACTTTGTACAAACAAAATGGCTGAAGCTCACCTTGATCCCTTGCCAACAGTTTGTTGATGTTGCCGTGGAGACTATATCTTGATCCCGAGGAGGTTTCCACAAGGCAGGAGGAGTTCCGTTTGATAATGGCTGTACTGTGCCAAAATGATCCCTCTGGATCTTCTCTGTGGCATGAATGACAAAGAAACATTTCACCTTGCAATTAGATAATAATTCAACCTTAATTGTCTACAGGATTCTCCCCTCTATTACTTCTTTCTTGGGCTTGCATCTGCTCGAGCACCCTGTTTATATTGAGATATTCCAGGGAAATGGAGTGAAATAGTTGGAGGTCCATGAGACCATTACTAGTTTTGAGCCAACATTCAGTCAAATGGAGTGGCCACTGCTGAATCACAGTGTGCCATCATGCCTCCTCAATATAACACAAAGTCTGAAAGAAAGAGGATACAGGCAAATGAGACAATTTACGGAAATATGGCACCAGGGGGGTGTTTCACAAAGATCCTAAGTAGAACTTTACTCTAATTCGGACTTAATCATTATGGAGAGCCATTTGCAACCTTAAAAAAATATATATTAACAAGTAGAAATTCCAGTATTTTAGACTTTTCATAAATTCCACATCAAGAACATGAAATCTCCTTGATAATAGAAAATATGAACAATTCGATTCAACATTTACGCCTTTTAAATAACTTTTACAAAATATTTTCAAAGATGCTAAGGGCTTTCCATAAGTCCAACCTAGGATCTTTGTTAAACACCCCACTGGGGTCATAAACATGTAGGTCTACTTACAATCTATGCCCCTCCACAGCTATGTGCTTTAATCCTGATCCAAGCCATTTTATGATCCATTGGTCCAGGTCAGTCACTGTCTTCTGGTCAGGATATCACGGAGAGGAATCAAAAGGCATATATGATAAGAATTTTACACAGCATAATGAAGAAAAGAAATTCTCCTTGACAGTTTAACTCCTGAGGGAAATTGTCCCTCCTCAAGTATAACTACTTATGTCTTTTTCTTCTTCTTCTTCTTCCTCCTTTTCCTCCTCCTCCTCCTTCTTCTTCTTCTCCTTCTTCTTATTTCTTATCATTATTATATTATTATTGATCTTATTACCATTATCATCATCATCACCATCAGCATAATCGTAATATATAGGCGCTGTTATGCTAATAGATTTCACCAAGACTTTATATGAAAAAAATAAAATAAGTAAGAAGTTAAAGAGCCAATTGTTTTCTTACAGACAACATAAATTTGGTCTTCCAGGTACATCTACAATCTCAACCTCTCTCGATATGTTATGGTCACAGATCTCAGATAAGGAAAATATGAATGCATAAAGGGATTCATTCATGACAAGAACCACACAAAAAATATGTGGATGCATGTTGGCTGTGAGAATGACAACATAATCTTGCATATGCATAAACCCTTTTCATATTTGCGCAGAGATTTGTCATCATTGATAATGTGACCAAACTAGTATCGGGTACCGAGTTACTGACCCACTTGCATGCTAGCTTCCTAATGCCAGTCATTTTTTTGTTTTTGGACACAAGGAGTGGGTTTGATTCAATTACAACTTTCATACAAAGTGTGTATTGGGGTTTTTACAGACGTGTATCAATCAAATATGATTATTTACGTCTGGGGACCGACCTTTAAACGTCACCATCCGAAAGACGTGACTCAGTTTCGAACCTGTGTTCTCGGCTGAATAAGTTTGTAACTTCCACTGTTGGCTGGATTACAGGCGCACGCCACAACGCCTAGTCAAAGGGGCCAACAATTAATACTCTACCCTTTGACCTCAAGTCGGTAGAAAGTACTTTCTCACCCCGGCTAGTTTGGCTACGTCATCACAGCTGTCGATGTTACTATGCTCCAGATCACTGGTCGACTTCACGGCTTTCCTCCTTAACGACTTTCTCTTTTCTCTTGCTTTTGAGACGGATCCCAAAGGAGATGCTTCAAGAATTGGTTTATCACAGGAGTCTGGATCTGAGTGCACAGCACAAAGCATTGTTAAATAACATGTTGGTTTCTAGCACTTCCTGAAGGAGTACACTTTCTTCTGCATATTTTCACAATATTTTGGGTCTCTTTTTTTATCTCTAAACTAGTGCTGTAGTCAAACGTTTAACCGTCCGGTATCCGACCGCCCATGGCGGATTCCGTTTTCAATTGGACGGTTTCGTTTTCCCGTTTTTTTTTTTTTTTTTTTTTTTTAATTTTTTTTTTTTTTTTTTTTTTTAAAGTTTCGATTTATGCCCCTCCACCTGGCACTATGCCTGGCAATGTCTCCCAGCTCAGTAATCGGTGTGATGACTTACCACTTGGAAACTAGAACAACACTCCAATTTGTCTGTCATCTTGGTTTGAAAGTAATCTTTGTAATAGATCTCAATATATATTCATCCAAGTTTAACACATGGTGTACCACAAGGTTCTATCCTAGGTCCTCTACTGTTTTTAATTTACTTTAATGATCTTACACATTATTCTAAAACGACATTGTTACTATTATTTGTGACTAGTTCACAAGCACAAATCGGCGCCTTCAGTTAAATCACGTTCCTGCTTTTTCACACGGCCAAAAAAAAAAAAAAAAAAAAAAAAAAAAAAAACAATTTTTTTATTTTTTTATATTTTTTTTTAATAAATCGTTTAACCGAAAACCGTCCGGTTTTGACAGGCGGTTAAACGGAATTGGAGATATCCGTGATGTTACAGCACTACTCTAAACAAGCCCTTGCATTGAGACCTAGATATGAAGAAAAAAACCCAGGATGTGTTGAATTAGTCTGCCAATTTTTAGGACAATTTGATTATTGATTGACAGAAATTTAAGTAGAGTTCTAATCCTCCTCCGGCACCTTGCAAAATACCTTGGGAGCCACACTGCATAAATAGACAACAGACTTTACATGCTTCTTCCCCACCTGTAAAGTTACATTGTTTGAGACTGGACATTTTTCTCTCTTCTTTTTAATTGAGATAGGAAGATCCACATGTGATGAGTAATACATTTATATCATTTTAAAGCTGAGAATCTCCTCTAGAATTTTCTCCTTTAGAATTAATCTAATCAAATATAATTGTTAGCATTGACTGCTGATTCCTAAAAAGGTAGCAGTGTTTAATATGAAAGTCTAAATATTATTAAGACCATTGTTTACCACAGAGCCGGACCACACCTAAATTTAGTAAGAAATTGCAATGGAAATAGATATATTTGTAAATCCTTCTGAAAGTTTCTGTAGAAGAAAAGGCCCATGTGGCTATTCGTCGATGGACAGTACTGCAACTAGTTCTAGAGTAACCATGATTATCATTGATTGGAAGGCTCGCAACATCCCACAATTTTGATAATTCTAGGCATACAGTATATGGGTCATTCACAACCTAAATCAGGAAGATTCTACATTGTCAAACATTGCATCCTACTGCAATTTAACAGTCACAGTCAGGTTTTTAAGTTGTGTGGTGGCGTTGATGAGGTTGAATTGGGATCTGTTAAAAGAAAAGAAGATCCAATTAACACACAGTGTATCTTACCTGAGCCTTTTATTTCAGTATCTTCTACTTTCTCCATTGGTTCCATCTCTCCATCCATCTCATCCGTGACATCCTTCACGTTTGGGACATCAGTGTAGAGTGATGCGTCGTCCTCTTCTTCCGCCTCTGTTGACGACACTGCAGTATCAGCAACTTCTGAAGACTCCACTTCTTGACCATGTTCAGGCTGTCAAGGAGACACAAGGGGAAATATGGACAAAAAGAGAAGGATCAAAATACTTGTTTTTACAACAAGGTAAGAAGATTTGATGGAAAAAAGGACGGAAGGAAACGGAGGCTGTCTGGCACAGTATTAGTTTTCTTTGTATTTGCAATTATAGACAGAACCATGATCGTCACATGTTTCTTTCTCATGAGATTTGGCTCCATCCTACAGTAAAAAACTCTGAAAAGTACAGAAGTACCCACTTTTCCAACAACCATGGCAAATTGCTCTAAAAGAAAGTAGGAAAAAAAAGCAGATTAGTGAAAGTTTGAATGCAATCAGACAAACAAAAAGTTATGATTTGTTCAAAATTTGTAACGATTATGTAGTGATATGGAAATTTCTGCCGAACAAACTGTGCTGTTTGTGCTTACAAAATGCATTCATTCCGGAGGATCTTTGATAATTTAATATATTTTGAGTAATGCCCAAGGGAGAAGGCCCTTTGGGAGAAAGAACTGAAATGTCTGATACTTTGATTCTGACAAAAGTTACAAAACACTGACCAAATTGAAAATTTGAGATTCTCATAGATTTGGTGATCTTGTTTCGAAAAAATGTCATGAATTTCCTATTATTTGCCCGATTTGTTTCAAACTCATGCTAATCTGTTCCTTCTCTTTTTCTCCTTTCAAACAATGGTTAGATTGTCATTTAATTTGCAGAATATTGTGACATGCCCATAAACAAAATTGAATGGCAATAAAAAAAAATTGGTTAAGGTGTACAAAGTAGATCCAATTCAGGGAATATTTTTCTGTGGAAAATTAAGACAAAAAGCAAGCCCCCCCCCCCCCCCCCCCACGTTAACAAAAAAAAAGAACAAAAAAGACAGATGAAAAAATTGCACACCTGGAAGCATGAAAGTGTTCCACCAGGCACCAGTCTCTGCTCCCTTTGGACTACATCATTCCTCTCTGAATCATGCCAGTCTTCATTCTCAATACTCTCTGGAGGCATCATCTCAACATGGCTGGTAGATGCATGCTCTTTCTCACCATCTTTCTGTGCGACTCCTCCCGTTGACTGCATCTGTTGGATGAGATGCGCCACGGGAGACATGATGAAAGCACCCACCAATGCTGGCACAGGTTTGGGCTTGAGCATCGGGGACACAAGCGGAACCTTGAAAGAGCCAGATGTGTTGCTTGATATGGAATTGTCAGCATTGCGTTTTGATGGAATGGAACTCGAAGCATTTTGGCCCATCACCTAGTCGGTGGAAACAAAATGACAGAGGACATTTGTAATGATCCATCCAACCTAATACCTGACATCTGTTTTAAATTTTAATATTAGATTAGCCACCTGCTGATTGAAAGGTTATCTTCATAAAAGATCTCTTTCGCTGTGTGGTGTAAAGCCTTCGATTGCTCAAATTCTTTATATCAAATTTGAAAGGGAGTTTTGCAATATATTGCAAGATGAAGACCACAATAGACACAGGCTTAGACATCTATTGGTAGTTTGGTACATGTAGAGGTGTACTCTTGAAGTAGAATGGCCTCTATTATATTTTTTCTTGACCTACCACTAAATTAAGTCCGAATGAAATAAGAGTTACACAAAGGTCTACATTTTTCACTATCTTCTATTGACTTAGTAGACTTACATGTACATGTATATTATTAAGCCCAAACCCAGCATCTGCTCTGAGATGTTTAATAGAATATGGTCCAAAGTTAAACTCCAAGGTCTTTTAAAAGATACATTATGTTACAGCACTGACAGGTTAAAGGAGCACATCACTTTTTCTTACACAAGTTTGCCTTGAGTAGTGGCAGAAAATACAGGTTAAAAAAAGATTCACGTTTGACATAAATCAGGGAAACAAGCAAAAACTAATGAATTCTCGGATTTTATCTGCCTTCATCCAGGCCAACGTAGTGTGAAAGACAAATCAATGAGACTTTCACAAACCTTTGCGAGAGGACTTTGTCTGTAGAGTTCCTCAAAGTGATCAATGTAATGCTGATACTTGGGTACAGGTCGCCTGATGTTACTATAAAAGAAAAAGAAAATAACCAAAAATTATGTGATAGGTGGTATCATGGTATGTAACTTTAGAAAATACCTGTTCGAAATTTGGTCAAGAAGTTCTTAGGAAGCAAGATAACAGAAGGAGTGAAACTGGTGAGAATATCACTTATTTACGATAATAGCAATTAGCTTTAATAGTGCACTATGACTATGAATGCATTTGAGGTTTTTACCTTTACCTTTACCACAAATACCTGAACTTCTGGGAGAATGCTGAGACAGCAGCGGAGCTTCCAGGTCTATCTTTTTGTCAATGTTGGTACTCTTAACTATATACTTCACATAATAAATAATTCATGAATGCAAGGGGGGGGGGGGGTGAGATAGCATCTTGACTGCACATGTCCCATGAGTAAAGAAATTTGGTACCATAAATCTCTATGTATAAGACACACTTTTCCTGCCAAAATGTGTTTTGTGTCAGTTTTGATCTTTTTCAGAGTATTTTTCCTAAAAACAGAGACTTATAATATGCACTTTCTCATATGATTCACGGCAACCTGCAGCACAATACAATTGCATACCATACCGACGGTGGGGTGCGGGGCACGCGTGTGTTCCGTTAGAGACCAAACACCATGATTACAGTCACTATAAACACACCCGTGAGCCCGCAACCGACCGTCGGTACAGTATATTATGGTGGTTATTTTTCCTGACTGCTAAGAAAGCATAAATGCTTGTACATGTAAGTAAGCAACCAGACCAGACGTCCGACGGCTTTAGGTCCTCTCTGAGGGACCTGGTATTGAGGATTAATGCCTTACCAAAGGGCACTAGCGCATCAACTTGGTTTCAACCCGGGTCACCGAATTACGAGACCAGGCTGCTCTACCGACTGTGCTATCGCGTCTCCTATGTAATTGTATTGTGCTACAGTTTGCTGTGAATCCTGTGAGAAAGTGCAGTCTTAGTTCTTAGGAAAAATAATCCAAAAAGAAAAATTACACAAAACAGGTAACAAACATATCGACTTTAAAATCATGACCTTTATTTGAACATTTGATGAGTATTTACTTCATTTTGGGTACGCCAGAGTTACGGGTCAAACTCTGGATAGACTTCTGAACTAGTGCCGAGTCTACTACTAGTAGTCATGGTTGTAGTAGTTGTAGTAGGCTAGACACTTCAGTCACGTCACAAAACCCCCTGGACAACTCTTGCTAGCCGCGCAATCGCTCAAATCAGGGGTGATAGTGAGCACTAAAGAAAAATAGGTTTTTTGTTTCCCTCTCAACAACATTCCCCCCTTTCGAGTAAGAAAATTGGGAAAAAATTGGGGGAAAAATAGGGCAGAGAATAGAGAAAAATAAGGGGGAAATCAGGAAAATTAGGATCAAATCAGGAAGAACAAAAAATATTGTGCTATACACTCACATGCAAATCCGATCGCAATTGCAATTCATACGATTGCGAGTTGTTTTTGCTTTATGGAAGTGGTGTGCACGTGTGCATCAACGTCAGCTGCACAAAGGAGTGGTTAGTCTGTGGTGCAGACCCTACGCAATGTTTTGTGTCCTACTGTACCTGTCTATTTTGTGTGATGAATCATTTGAAATATGATATTTATTTGGTGATTCTTTATCTAATTAATTATTAAATTAATGAGTTTATATTTATACAAATTTACTTGATTGAGAGTGAATGTTGATGAAACTTAAATATAAAGCGTATACAAAAATTCAGGTCTGATGGCAAAATGATAATGAAGGAAAAGCTGTGATAACACCATTACGAACGTGTAGATGGCGCAGTTTTTCCTTCATAATCATTTTGCCTTCGGCGTAGACTAGAAGGGATGAGATTGATTTAGATGACTCCATGCGCAGCGAGAGTTTAACACGGCTTGCAAGATTTTCAACATGGATGTCGATTTTGACCCATAATTTCCTTAAAAGGGACCATTAAACGGATTATTTCAGTCAAGTTAGTAAGTGGAACCGATGTATTATAGCCAAGGCCTAATTTACAATTGGATATACACGAGGTAAAATGACATTTTGGGGGCATAACAATACGACCTGAAATGGCCGCGGCGTTATCAAGGGAATGTATAGAGACGGTTTCCGTCTCTAAAGAGAGAGCCGACCCTACCCCAATAAGAGGCTAATGAACGAAAGAGACAGAAAATTTGGTCTAGGCCGAGTTGTCCCCTGGTCCGAGTTAGCCCGACTCCATCTAGAGCTAGACCTATCCGATTTTGCTCAAACTTTTTTTACTTACTTACTTTACTTTGGTTTACTTTGGTGTCGAGGCTTGAAGCTTCAGCTTATGTGCCCCTCTTTACTGCATTGGATTCGCGTTGGTATGGGTGGTATTTCAGCGGATGGTGCTTCCAGTGATTTTCAAGTTCTGACTTGAATTTATTGATTGATGAGGCATTTATGGCAATTTCAGGAAGGTTATTCCAATTATTAATGCTCCGCACTGAAAATGGAGTCGGGCTAACTCGGCCCACGGGACTACTCGGCCCAGCTGGAAAAACTGGGCCGAGATGTCCCGACCTGATTAATCGATCGAGAGATACCAATGTGTATATGTTTGTGCTCTTTGCGACTTAATAATGCCCTTTCCAACCAAAATCTTTAATGGAATTGTGTTAAATGATACCAATGAAGACAATTTATAACTTATCTTTAGGTAAAATGACAAAAAAATGACATTTCGGACAATTTACTCACAGCTCGCAATCCGCATTGCCGCACGTACATTAAATGTGCGTTGTATCTACTCGGACCACTGAAATTCGAGCAGTGTTTTCGTCGGTAAATCACTGCAAAAATATCATTTTTATCTCGTATGAAGGTCTATTTTTTATTCCTGACACAGATTTCATTATTGAGAAGTCGAATATATATACTGACTCGGCGCCCGTACCGGGCCGCTGCACTGCATTGCATGATTGTACTGCCCAATTTGATCGAGTGATGTGAGTATAACTAATCAAACTAGATCTATATCTACTGTATTATCATTATTCATTCCGAGTAGAATATCCAATTTGATTTAGTGAGTAAACTAGACCTAGATCTATATCTACTGTAGCTACATCATTATCATATACTAGATTAGTCATTCAGAGTAGAATATTTGATTAATGAAGGAATGGAATTTTTCTTTTTCATAATCAGATAATCATATTTTACTCCTAAAAGTTAAAGACTTGATAAATAGCTAGATCTAACGTAAGGGCCTAGCCTAGTACTGTAAGAGAAGTGAGCTGAAGAATCGCCTTCTTCTTTTATTTTTGGAGGGGCAGGCGCGTAGCCAGGGGGGGGGGGGGCAGTCGCCCCCCCCCCCCAAAAAAAAAAAAAAAAAAAAAAAAAAGGAAGAGGACGTAGGAAGAAAAAGGATTAAGAGTCGAGAACGGTACAACGAATCGTCTTCTTTCTCTAATTATTTAATGAAACATCAAAGCTTCCGCGCTTCGCACGAAAAGGGGGGGACAAAACTGAATTCAGGTAAGGATAAAGAGTCGAGATCGGTACAACGAATCGTCTTCTTTAGTAATTTATAAAACGTAAATGCTTCCACGCTTCGCGCGGGAGCGGGGGAAACTGAATTCAGACAAGGATCTAGAGTCGAGAACGGTAAAACGAATCGTCTTCTTTCCCTAATTATTTAATGAAACATTAAAGCTTCCGCGCTTTGCGCGGGAAGGGGGGATGGAACTGAATTCAGATAAGGATTAAGAGTCGAGAACGGTACAATGAATCGTCTTCTTTAATAAATTATGAAACGTCAACGCTTCCACGCTTCGCGCGGGAGCGGGGAAACTGAATTCAGACAAGGATCTAGAGTCGAGAACGGTAAAACGAATCGTCTTCTTTCCCTAATTATTTAATGAAACATTAAAGCTTCCGCGCTTTGTGCGGGAAGTGGGGATGGAACTGAATTCAGATAAGGATTAAGAGTCGAGAACGGTATTCGTCTTCTTTCTCTAATAAATTATGAAACGTCAACGCTTCCACGCTTCGCGCGGGAGCGGGGAAACTGAATTCAGACAAGGATCTAGAGTCGAGAACGGTAAAACGAATCGTCTTCTTTCCCTAATTATTTAATGAAACATTAAAGCTTCCGCGCTTTGCGCGGGAAGGGGGATGGAACTGAATTCAGATAAGGATTAAGAGTCGAGAACGGTACAATGAATCGTCTTCTTTAATAAATTATGAAACGTCAACGCTTCCACGCTTCGCGCGGGAGCGGGGAAACTGAATTCAGACAAGGATCTAGAATCGAGAACGGTAAAACGAATCGTCTTCTTTCCCTAATTATTTAATGAAACATTAAAGCTTCCGCGCTTTGTGCGGGAAGTGGGGATGGAACTGAATTCAGATAAGGATTAAGAGTCGAGAACGGTACAACAAATTGTCTTCTTTCTCTAATAAATTATGAAACGTCAACGCTTCCACGCTTCGCGCGGGAGCGGGGAAACTGAATTCAGACAAGGATCTAGAGTCGAGAACGGTAAAACGAATCGTCTTCTTTCCCTAATTATTTAATGAAACATTAAAGCTTCCGCGCTTTGCGCGGGAAGGGGGGATGGAACTGAATTCAGATAAGGATTAAGAGTCGAAAACGGTACAACGAATCGTCTTCTTTCTCTAATTAATTATGAAGTGTCAACGCTTCCACGCTTCGCGCGGGAGCGGGGAAACTGAATTCAGACAAGGATCTAGAGTCGAGAACGGTAAAAGGAATCGTCTTGTTTCTCTAATTATTTAATGAAACATCAAAGCTTCCGCGCTTCGCACGAGAAGGGGGGACAGAACTGAATTCAGGTAAGGATAAAGAGTCGAGATCGGTACAAGGAATTGTCTTATATCTCTAATAATTTATAAAACGTCAATGCTTCCACGCTTCATCCATCCCTCTAATCATCAATATCGTCTTCATCCCTTACATCATCAAAATTGTCTCCATCCCTCTCATCATCTCTAATTCTCCATCCCTCACATTGTCTCCATCCCTCTCATCATCTCCATCCCTCACATTGTCTCCATCCCTTTCATTATCAATATCGTCTCCATTCCTCTCATCATCTCCATCCCTCACCAATCCCTCTCATCATCTCCATCCCTTACATCATCAACATTGTCTCCATTATGTATTATGCCACATTGTGGAAATGCAATTTTATTTTTTTAATTCATTATTTATTTATAGTATGTACATATTTACAGGTACACAAGATCAGATATAAATCTGTTAACCCCCAGCCCCCCCCCCCAAAAAAAAATTGTAACATGCAGATGACACGCCACACCATTCCTTGTGTTGTGGTATTGGTACGTATTATTTCATATGCAATTTACAAGGCAAAAAAAAATCTAAATAAATAAAGTTAAAACAATTAAATAAAAATGAGGACATGTTTGAAAAACACACATAATAGCAATAAACATTATTTGTTTACGACTCCAAGATACAAATTCCAACAATATGACGTCAAGCTGACTCAAAATAACAAATGATAAGCAGGTGTAATCGTGTATTAATTTTATGCCACGTTGTAATGCAAATTTGTTTTTTTTTATTTATTATTTATTTATAGTATACATATTTATACAGGTACACAATATATCAGATATAAATCTGTTAACCCCCAGCCCCCCCCCCCCAAAAAAAAATATAAAAATTGATTTTGCTCATAGATCTTTGCCTCTGTTGCTGATTACATACCCGGCCGAGATGGATGGGAGGGGGGGGGGGCAGCTGCCTTTTAGAAATTTGAGGAACGGTTAAATTAATGACCAGTTGACCAAAGGTCCAGGAGAAGGCTTACAAGAATTAAGATCCCCCTGCCCAGGGGCGGCCGAGCGACTTCCAAAGTGGGGGGGGGGGGGGCACCAACAAAAAAGGGCACTTTCTGGAGAAAAAAAGGGCACCTACAGTGGGAAATCTCAAAGCGAAAATATACAATTTTTTAGACATTGGTATATACCCCTACATTGTGATTACATTATCAGGGATGATTTCAATATTTGTTTTTCTTCATACATCATACAAGATATCGCTTAAGCATCATACTTTACAGTTGGGTGTGATGTCTGAATATGCATTTACGAGCGAGCGAAGCGAGCGTGAAAAATTTCAAAGATCTACATTGTATGAGGTCGCAGTGCGAAAAATTACATCTTATAAAGAGGAAAAAAGCCAATCGTGATGGGGTTATAAGCACATTCTCATAACGGAAGACTGAAAAGACCTTTGATAAGTAACATAATTATATCATCTTTAAATGCGAGCGAGCGCAGCGAGCGAACTTTGGGGGAAATTGCTCTCAGTCGCCTTAAATAAGGGGCACGTTTAATGATTACAAGAAAAGGGGACAATTATCGAAAGGGATAAGACACTTATACGAAAAGAAAAGGAGCACGTGTCAAAGTACAAAGGATTATTATAAGAGGTGAAAATGAGACAAAGAGGCGTTTACGAAAATGGGAAATAGGCATTTGTTGACGGAAAAGGGGCACCCATCAGATTTTGATAGGGGCATTTATAAGAGGTGAAAAGGGGATAGTTCCCTTATTAGAAAGGAAAAGGGGCACGTATCATTATTAAAAGGGGAATTATCAGAGTTGAAAAGGGGCATTGACCAGATATGAAAAGGGGCACTTATAATAAAGGAAAATGTGCATTTGTTGAATGAAAAGGGGGCACCGTTCAGATTTTTAAAAGGGGCAGTTATGAGAAGGGGAAGGAACTATTTCTTTTTAACGGGGGCACTTATCATAAGGAAAAGGGGCACTTATTAGAAAATAAGAGGAGCACATGTTAAAATGAAAGGTGTGCTCATCCGAGTTTAAAAAAAGGGGATAGTTATTAAAAGGAGAAGGGGCACTTCTTACAAAGGAAAAAAGGGGAAGTTGTCAAAGTAAAAGGAGCACCTCTCAGTTTTGAATAGGGCAATTATCAGAGGTAAAGGGGGCACTTATTAAAAGTGAAAAGGGGCACTTCTCGTACCTGAAAAGAGGCACTTACTAGAGATTAAAAAGGGCACTTTTTCAAGATTATTTCAAGATTTATGAGAATGGAAAATGGACACTTATTGCAAAGGAAAATGGGAACATGTCGAAGGAAAAGGGGCATGTGTCAAAAATAAAAAAAGGGCACTCGTCAGAGGTGAAAAGGGGGAAGGGGCACTTTTACTAAGTAATAGGGGCACTTGTCAAATGAAAAGGGGCACCTTTCCTATGTAAAAAAGGGCACTTCTTACAAAATAAAAGGGGCACTTTTCCTATGTAAAAAGGGGCACTTTTGGGGTATCTGAAAAAGTGGGAGGCACTTTGCCCCCCCCCCCCCATCCCCGGGAGGGCCGCCTCTGCCCCTGCCCCTCCATGCACCGGCACGTCATTGCAATATCATGTCTTAATTGCTTTGCTTTGTATATATCTCTTTGATTCCCAGAAAAAGGGAACAAAAAGGAGATTTTTTGGTTTGTTTGGGGGGGGGGGGTGGTGGGGGCTGCATTATTTATACAAAAAACTTGAAGCCAATACCTTCTTTTCGTAGAATTTTTTGGAAGCAGCCCCCTCCAAAAAAATAAGGCGATTCTTCAGCTCACTTCTCTGCTTAGAGTACTAGGCTAGGCCCTTACATTAGATCTAGCTATTTTATCAAGTCTTTAACTTTTAGGAGTAAAATATGATTATCTGATTATGAAAAAAGAAAAATTCCATTCCTTCATTAATCGGATATTCTACTCTGAATGACTAATCTATATGATAATGATGTAGCTACAGTAGATATAGATCTAGGTCTAGTTTACTCACTAAATCAAATTGGATATTCTACTCGGAATGAATAATGATAATACAGTAGATATAGATCTAGTTTGATAAGTTATACTCACATCACTCGATCAAATTGGGCAGTACAATCATGCAATGCAGTGCAGCGGCCCGGTACGGGCGCCGAGTCAGTGAATTCCCCCGCCGACCCGGCCGGCGGCGCTGTACGGCTAGCTGCACACTGAGCTGAGCTGCTGCGGTAGCACTAGGCAGTAGTCTGCTAATTTACGGCCAGGACGAAAGAATGTGAACAAACATCAACCATCTCGTCTAAAATGTACTATATTCGACTTCTCAATAATGAAATCTGTGTCAGGAATAAAAAATAGACCTTCATACGAGATAAAAATGACATTTTTGCAGTGATTTACCGACGAAAACACTGCTCGAATTTCAGTGGTCCGAGTAGAAACAACTCACATTTAATGTACGTGCGGCAATGCGGATTGCGAGCTGTGAGTAAATTGTCCGAAATGTCATTTTTTTTGTCATTTTACCGAAAGATAAGTCATAGATTGTCTTCATTAGTATCATTTAACACAATTCCATTAAAGATTTAGGTTGGAAAGGGCATTATTAAGTCACAAAGAGCACAAACATATACACATTGGTATCTCTCGATCGATTAATCAGGTCGGGACATCTCGGCCCAGTTTTTCCAGCTGGGCCGAGTAGTCCCGTGGGCCGAGTTAGCCCGGATTCCTGAAAATGACATCTGCCTCATCTTAGATTTGCAGCGGGGCTTCCTTATTTTGAGCCTGTGTCCCCTTGTTCTGGATTCTTTGATGATTTCAAATATGTCATTCCTCTCTACTGCCTCCAATCCATGCATGATCTTGTATATTTGAAGAAGATCAGCCCTCTGTCTACGGTACTCTAGTGATGGTAGTTTGAGTGTCTTACTCTTTAAGTCTTTCGATTTGTTTGTCTGATTTTCTGCTTCTCGATAGTAGAGTCTAGACTATTTCTAGTTATTTTTGGAGTGGACTTGGTAGTTTAAGGATTGCTTTATCAGACAAACCTGATTTCAATCAGTTCTCATGGAAAATTAATTTTCACCTAAAGTGCCTAAAGTCTAGTGGTGGTACTAGTAGGCCTACCCGAGTTAGCCCGCGTCCGAAACCCCGGCCCTCCGAGCTCCCCAATTAGGCCCAGCCAAGCCAGACCCTGCGGCTAGCGCGCAGGTACCACGGTCAGAGTAACCGGCGTCGGCGTCGAAACTTTCTGGAGTTACAGTGCAGAGCCGAGGCCGAGCTGAGTCAGCGAGTCGAAGTTAACCAACTTAACGTTAACGGCCGCGGTTAAATGTGAATTGATCTTAGCTAGCGTGCACCTGCAATTCTGTTTGCTTACCTGTCTTTGCGACCACCGACCAACTTTTCAGAGTCCTGTATTGGATTCATGATCTTGATTCCTCTAAAATCATTGTCGTTACACCGAAGTTACGGAACCGTTCTCACAGTTTCAAGTCACCGCCATTCAAAGAGAAATCTTATAACTGATATGACGTCATACAATCATGGTGTCTTTAAAAAGGCTAGATTAAAGGAAATACAAAGTTTTGGGAAATTTTGAAAATTGGGTGGATAGTGATTCTTTACAATTTTGATATATTTGGGTGTCCCTGTGGATGTATTATAAGCACTAGAAAATTTAGCCCCTAAAACACTTCTGATTTCGAGAAAACTTAAATATAAAACTTTACCGGTGCTCCCGGTAAATTTTGATGAATTTCAAATAGCGCCTATAGCCGTACAATGTTAGCTGCGACCATGACAATCTCAGAATATGTATAGATGTGATATATAATTTTCAAACGGGAATAGCTAATCGGTCGATTTTAGTCAAAAAATATTGTTTTATAGCATAATCAATATCTTGACCTCGAGAGGGAGCTATACAGCATAAAGAGTATTATTTACAATTTCATAACTTTAGACTCGATTTCAACCGCGACAACGATCACTGAATATTGTTGGATAGCATATGCTTCGAATATGTTCATTTGAACCGAATTCATGACCCCATACCAAAACTTTGTATTACCTTTAACTAGATACACAAGACTAGTACCCTCTCTTTCCAAATTTATTTATATAATTTTCTTTAAAAAAAAAAGAAGAATATAACAGAAAATAAGCAGAAGGAAAGGGATGGAAAGAGAAAGAATCCTAAAAATAGTCATTTATGACATGTAATTGTACATTATTTTTTTATGTGTATATATATATATATATATATATATATATATATATCGCAGTACCATCGCAGTACCTGAGCAATTACAATAGCCCCTTCACCCATGAGTAAATCCTATTGTATTTGCACCCATGCAGGTTGTAGAGTAATCATGTACTTTTAAGAATGCTATCAGTTGCCTGATGATCGCTCGCAAGGCTTTAAACTCGGAGTTGCAACCATGCATGTTCCATTAGTCTGCCTTATTCAATATATAAATATATATATATATTTCATAAAATAGTGTGTGGCAAAAATAGTCAACTGTGACTGATTGCCAAACAAAATCAAATCAAGAAAGAAAGACTACTGCAGCCAGGGGCTTAAATCCGGGGGGGGGGGATGGGGGGCTGCATCCCCCTGGCTTGAAGTAGGGGGGATGGCCTGTACAAATACCCCCCCCCTGAGATTACAAAAAAAGAGAGAAAAAAAAAAAAATGTTATTGTTTCAACTTTAGCATAATGCATGAGAAATGAGTTTTTTTTTTTTTTTAATGTATGTATAACTGTATAGCCTACACGCATACATTATGTCACGTTCAATAACAGTAGTTGCGCGACGTGCGCGAACAAGCACTTCATAAACTTCAGAATAATTTTTCGTTATTTTGCAAGGTATTATTATAGCCCAGACGTAAAGTGCGCCAGCGCGCGAGCGCTTAAAAAGTACAATCATGTACAGTAGATTCGCGCCCGGCTCCCCCCCCCCCCACTTAGTGTTATTTAGGGTACGCGTATGCTCCGTTCCCTCCCTTTAAAAGCACCCCCCCCCCACCCTATCTCAGGACTGCCAACAGTTCTGAATCCCTCTTTCGCCGGCTTTTCGGTGGCTTTTCCTGCCTTGGAGATCCCCCCCGAAATCCGGAACACTGCTAAATGTAGTAATGTACCACACCCACCCCCCCCCCCAATTTCAGGTGAGCTCTAGTCGATCGAGGGGGACTGGGGGCCAATGCTTTTACTTTTCAAAATGAAATAATCCTTAATGAGCTTTCAAAGCAAGCAGGAATTTGAGGAATTTGATCCCGGGATTTGATAATTTTTTTTATGATATTCAAGCTATTTTATAACCTCCTTTTTACATTTCTCAGGAGTCCAAAAAAGAGAGAGAAAAAACCCATCCCCTTTTTAAAGAAATTAAGAGTCGAGAATGGTACAACGAATCGTCTTCTTTCTCTAATGATTTAATGAAACGTAAAAGCTTCCGCGCTTCGCGCGGGCGGGGAAGGGAAAAACTGAATTCAGATGAGGATTAAAACAGTCGAGAACGGTACAACGAATCGTCTTCTTTCTCTAATGATTGAATGAAACGTAAAAGCTTCCGCGCTTACACGGGAGGGGAGGGGGGAACTGAATTCAGACGAGGATTAAGAGGCGAGAACGGAACAACGAATCGTCTTCATTCTCTAATGATTTAATGAAACGTAAAAGCTTCCGCGCTTTGCGCGGGAGGGGGGGGGGGGACTGAATTCAGACGAGGATTAACAGTCGAGAACGGTACAACGAATCGTCTTCTTTCTCTAATAGTGTTTGTTTGTTCGTTTGTGTGTGTGCGTGTGCGTGTGTTTGTGTGTGTGTGTGTGTTGTGTGTTTGTGCGTGCGCGATCGCGCGCGCTTGCATATATTAGTGTGGGCGTGCACTCGTGCTAGTATGATGGCTATCGCCGATCATCCCACCCCCCCCCCCCCCCACTCCTCGGTACGGATTTACGCCCCTGACTGCAGCGCATGCAAGGACGTAAATAATCATATCTGATTTTTTACACGTCTGTAAAAACTCAATACACACACACACAAACACACACACCCACACACACACACACACACACACACAGAGGAGATGTGAGTTCGTCTATAGCGGTACGTTCGCGTTCACTTGGTCCGCTCTCTGTCTCCGCCTACAAACTTGCTCAAGTGATCTTGTTCATGATTGATACACGTCTGTAAAAACCCAATTGCAAACACACACACCATAGAGATAATTTTTAACAAATATGAAAATAATTCATAGAGATCAGTGGATTTTTAAAGGCTAAAACGAAAAAATTGAATAAGTAAATGAAATAAATGAATAAATAAATGAATAAAAATCTAATTTATATTGTTTCCTTTGTATTCTTCACCCCCGGTCTGCATCTCTCAGTTATGACAAGGACACAACTTACATAGAAGTGCCAATGGAAAGGCACCTTTAAAACAAAAAAAATCAAATAACAAGTATATAATACAATTGAATTACATAAAATGTGACGATTGAGATACAGGTGTGCAAACAAAAAATACATATATATAATTGAAAACTTGAAAGTATGGAGGTAAATCAACGAATCAAGATCAATGCGGAGGCCAACTATCAGAAGCATGAATGTTTGAGTAGATAGCAGCCGGTAAAAAAAAGAAGCTTTTATAGGAGTATGTAGATGAATAGAGTGTCACGTATCAAGATTTTCTTCTTCAGAAAGTATCTAAATGGGCCTTTTCTTTCTGTCCTTTTTCCCCTTTTATTTTCTGAATATTTTTTTTCCTTTTCTTATTTTTTTCTGTTATTTTTTCAGGGAGGAGGGACTCTGAATGGGGCATAGCGTAGAAGGAAGTGCGATTTCAATTTCCTTTAAAAAAAAAAAAAATTCATTTAAATCTCTCCTATAGCCATTCGTTTCCCCTCGCCCCCTCCCTCAGTCGCTTCCTCTCTCTCTCTCCCTCTCTCCCTCTCTCTCTCTTCTATTTTCTTTTTCTGCATTTTATTATTTTGGACATTCTATTTTACATGTCAGAGATTCAATTGATAACAAAATGAAGGCCCTTCTCCGCCGAGACACTCGGCAATAATTTGTTTTTGTATTGGTCTATATCATTAATTATTAACGGACACATAACTTAAACAAAGAATGAATATTTATATTTCATTCTTATGTCATACGCAACAAAACACATACTAATTAAACAGACTGTAGAATGAAACGATGTCTTTGTTCTGAAATAAATGGAATTAAACGATCCTGCTGTTAATTAAACTCAGGGATTTTAATTAAAGGTCGGGCTTGCATTTTTTAATTACAACAGCAATGTCGCTTCATAATTATATATCATAGTTCTCTCCTAATAATGGTAATCATCTGCTAACCTTCCGATGAAACTTTTAAAAGTTGGGCTTTAATAACGTTATGGGCTACAATCAATTTCACTGCAAGTGAACATGATGATTTTAGCAGTATCCTTTAAAAAAAAAGATAAATAAAATGCCTATTAGTCCCGGCCCCCACTCCGAGAACGGAGGGATACCATGCGTGTTACCAAAATGTCCGGTAAAGGGGTACTTTTCACGCACCTGCAAAGTCCGGCTCGTATAAAGTACACAAAAATCCGGCACGTATTGACTTTATACACCGGACTTCGGGGGGTGTTTTCAAAAGGAGGGAACAAGCATACGCGTACCCTAAATAACACTGAGTGGGGTGGGGGGGGGGGAGGGGGGGGGGGCTATTAGTCTTCTTGGATCTTGGATTTATTTTCCTCCTAAATACTCCGAAGAAGAGTTTTGACTGGAGGTGGTGGAGGGTGGACGATTACATTTTGGAAAAAAGTTCTTTAGTAACTGCATTTTTAAATGAGAGCGGGGAGGTTTGGTCGATGGTTGCTTGTTGTAGGTTATTCCATGTCTTTACAGTCCTTGGGAAATATGAGTTGGCATAGACGTCCGAGTTGGTGTGGCGAATTTCAAATTGGTTGGAGTGTCCTCGTCTACGTCTGTCTGGCTTAGGGTTGGTGTGAGATTGGTAGTCGATGTCGAGTTGTCCCTTGATCATTTTGAAGAGGCAGGTAAGGCGGTGTGCTTCCCTTCTGTCTTTAAGAGATCCCCAGTTGAGTTGGTTGAGTAGCTTGGTAACACTGGTGTCCCATCCGTAATTATTGGTGACAAAACGTGCAGCCTGACGTTGAACTTTCTCGACAGCATAGATGTTTTTGGCTGTATAAGGGTCCCATGCTGCAGTGGCGTAGTCAAGGTGTGGACGAACAAGAGTAAGATACAACTTTTCTTTAATATTAGATGAGCAGTGATGGAAGTTGCGCCTTAGGAAGTTAAGGACCCTTGAGGCTTTGCCGGTTGTGTAATGAGTCTGGCTATTCCAGCGTAGGTCTTTCTGGATATTGATGCCAAGGTATAGGGTCTGGTTCGTTTCGTCCAGGGTAACATCAAGGATTTTGTAGGATTTAGTACCCGGTGTTCTCTTTCTTGAAACACGCATCGTTTTGCATTTAGAGGG